GGTTAGTCTCTGAATCTCTCTGAAGAGGGCGCATTATGTCTTCTCACATTAAGTCTTTCCACAAAGAATGAAGAGGACAGAGGAAGCAGGGAATGCTTCTCTGGGCTAAACCCTCCTCCCAACCACCCAGCACATTGCATTTTCCCTGCCATTCGGTCTTGAATACAGGCAGTGGAGGCAATCATGACAGGATGCGAATGGTAGAGTTTTTGGAAAAAGCAATCCTTGGTGACTGTAGTCATTTGTCACATCAAAGTCACTGGAGAAAAGGGAATACAGAATGAGGTAAACATGGCCATTATACTGTGGGTATACTGCTGGCTCTTACAGGTTTCAATGGGCTCATTGTGATAATATTAGCACATACATCTGTCTGTGAAGATGGGAGGTCAAGCTTATGAAGCTCAGATAGCTGGCAAAGCCCTGAGTAAGACCAAGCACAAAGACACAAACATTATGCTTGTTGTTAGAGAGCGCCTTAACATAACAAATGTGTGATATGATCACTAAGGCAACAATACGGGAATAACAAAGGTGAGAGAAAGGGAGGGATGAAAGGGTGTGACAGTAGAGCAATAGAGAACATAAAAGAAAGTGGAAAAAAGTGAGAGATAGACAGTCAGAGTGAGAGAGACAGATTGACTAGGGACAGTAGATGATGTTGAGTGTTGTCCAGGCAGTAAGGCAGGCAGGTGGGTGGTGGATTCTCTGTGTGGTTTCCATCTCTGGGGGAAAAGCAGCAGAGGAGAATGTAGAGGGGCTCATTTAGATCCTTCTAAAAGGAAAGGCCAAAGCTTCTAGAGACTGCAGTGGCTGTGATAATGCCTGCTGCCTAGAGGTGGACCTGCAGGGATGACACACCCCTGGGATGTGCTGAATAGGAGCTGCAAAGAAGGACTGGAAGAGAGACAAGGAGATGTACTGTATAGTATGGGTTGAAAGTTCAAGAGAGACAGAGAAGTGAAAGACTGCAGACAAACAAAGAGAGACTGGAGTAATAGAACAGAAGTGTATTGTGCTTCTATGCATTGCCCAGAGTGGCATATTAGACTTAATGCATTTGTCATACTGTATATGTATTTGTGTCGGTTATCTGTTTAGTAGTGATCCATGCATACTCAGTCCAAACTAACCCACTGTAAATATACGACAGGGAATTGAGACTAGTTAAATTTTGTATGAAAAATTAGGCAAAGCTTTCTTTGATATTTCTGGTTATATGTGAATGAGGCTTGTACCTTTTTTGGGGTTGCTGATGTATTCAAATATGCTGCTTTGTGGTGTTAAATAGTGAACACTTGTAATGAGCTTTCCAGGCTGCTGCATGTTATGGTGAGGAAAGAATGTGTTATTTGGCTGTGCTTATCCAAGCAGACTAGGTAATATGTGTGTAATGGGGAAAACAGTGGAGTTGAAATCCAATGAAAGCAGGGGGTCTGTTGGAATACACAGCCAAACCTGCTTTATCAAAATCTGCAAGGAGCTATTTGGGACACTGAAAATAACTCAAAAGAAAAAGGATATACTCAAAATTTGCAAATGCTCATAAATGTGAAACACAGCCTGGTGTAGTTGCATAATTTGAGATAGGGATTTTAACAATATGCAACAACATATTGTACAATAAAACAGCACTTTCATAACAACTCTTCTCAGTGGTAGTAAGATAATTAGACAAAATTGCTGATGAAATTTCACCTTATTCATTCAGCTTGACATTAAATGTTATCAAATTAATTGTTGGGGGATAGGGGTTATTTCCTGACCAATCAGTAGGGAGCGGTGTATCCACTCTACTGATCATTTTCAGTTAACATTGTCATGTTTTTTACGTGGTTTAAACAAACGTGTCGATTTAAAAGTTATATCTGGAAGTCAACTTACAACCTCCTTTTCTAAATCCTGCCTACTAGGGTCTAATTGGTCAACAGTTTCTCCAGCAGGGGGGAAATAGTTGTCAGTGGGCTCAGTAGTTTCCTAATGGGCTGGGAGGTAAGTCCATAGAAAATATTTCTTGCCCCAGAGGCACATGGTTGCAAAACATAAACATACAGCATCCCCAAAAATATACCAAACACACTCCGAATATGATTCCAAAGGGAGGTTATGTTCCTTTTTAAGTTGAATTTATGCTGCAGGAAACACTAAAATTCCAGTGAAGCTTACATGCATAATGATGTGCAGTTATTTTATAAGGCAATGATATCTAAGACTACTACTACACAAGTACAGTAAGCTGTATTTTGCACATTTATAAATATATTTACATCTATAGTAATATCTCTTTAAGCAAAAACTGAAATATACCGATCATAAACTTGTTCTTACAATGGTAAAGATTATTTTGATAATTGAAGAAAAGTGTTTGTGTTCTTGGAGTGCAGCTCCAACAACCACATCCCAAGATCCTTGATTTGGCTCAGGACACATCTTGAGGACATCTGCTATACTCCTAATAATTTGCACTGCATAACTCAATGCAAATGAACTTTCAGAATTACCAAGGCAGCCCAAAAAAATGACTCGTAAAAATGGCCATTTGTGCCTAAGCAGTGTTTGCACGTGCAGGGTAATGAAGCCTAAGCAACAAAAAACGTAAAAATCATCAAGATTAATGTCAGTGGAGTATGAACCTTCCTCCAACAACTGCAGGTGAGTCAATAAACTACTCAATATGAAACTCAGCAACAGTTTGTGTGAGTGTATGTGCATGTGTGAGTGCACATGCTCACTGGGTGCTCCAGTCCCACTCGTGCATGACTCACACCTTTTTGTCTCTCACATGAATCTAATGACAGATGTAAGGGAAAGTCAATATGTATTAACACACCACAGAACTGTAAATTGGTTGTGCTACACATTACCATTAAAAGCAAAATTGCAAGTCTGAGAATAGCTTCGGATGACCTCAAAACTTCTCAACAAGAAACAGAAAGGCCATGAAGGCTCGCCCAACCAAAAGAACAACATCATTATAATTTAATCAAAGTTAATCATATTTTCTAGTGTGGGCCCATCAGCGCATGAATTACTAATATCGCAGGTCAGTTCAGATATCAAACCTCTCCTTCAAACCATTTGTGGGATATTCAATAAAACAACAAGGACATCTGAATTCAGTCTCCCCTATGTCCAATTTTTTGTAGTTACTGCTGAAGAAAATAAAGTTTGTCTACTGTTGCCATCTTGCCACTGAACTACAAGCTGTTCAAAAGAAGAACACATTGTGTCAGTCCCTCACTCTCCCATGTAATAGTTACAAAAATATTTGCTTGAAAGATGAGGAAAACTCCATTTATCTGCTGCTTCTCTCGCTGTGTCTTTCTCACTCTAACTCCTTTTCTTTCTCCCTCCTTCCAGCACTACTCCTCCTCCCGTGGTGTCACAGTCCATATGGTGCTGCAACACTGTTGGTCTCCTGTGGCCACACTTCCCACGATGCATCTGTGGCTTCGGGCTTTCGAGGGAGCTGATAGGCTGAGAGGACTGTGGTATTGACCAGCTATCGCCTGGTGTGAGGTCAGCCCGGTGCGGCAGTGGAGTGTGTCCGAACAGCACACACCACTGACTTCCAGTCTTTCATCCATCCCGCAAATCAATCCTCCATTTTCTATCGTTACCTTTGCCTCCGCAGAAGTATGTTCCTCTGTTGCATTCTTTTCTTTAGAAAGAAACAATTCTTCCCTGTGCATGTGACATTTTCTCCTTTAAACTACTGTCAATTTCTTGGAACGTTTGAAACCACGCAGAGTCATGACACTTCAACGGTACGTTTACCTTTTCAAGCCAAAACGAAGATGCTCCATTTAGAAATACCATCAAGGACTCTCCAACTTAAATATCTATTTATTTTTGAGAGGGATTTTACTGTTATTCTTCTCTCTTCTGCATGTTATGTTGTACTGCTCTGAGCTCTCTTCCTCTCCTGTCTGCGACCATGCAGAGAAAACAGAGCTTAGCAAAGATCAATCCCATTGAGTCTGACTCCTTTCACTAGCCAAGGATCAATACTGCCTGTTTCATGTCCCTTTGCAATATACACATCTGCACACACACACACACACACACACACACACATACACACAAAGACATGCCTATGAGAGCAGGCCCACCCCTTTAGAGATGACCTATCGGCCTATCGGCTAACTTGCTCACCGGGGGATACAGAAGTTCATTATGACAGGCTTGCCAGTGCTAAAGGTCTGCCTTGGACCTCTGCTGCAAAGTGCAGCATTTACACCATCTGATTACATTAACAGCTTGTCACAGAACACTCAAAAGAAACACGCAGTGGCTAAAAGTAATACACAGCTGGAAAACTTTTACATGTGCAACAATGTGACTGTTGAATGTGTGATAGCAGATGTTTCACTAATGTAAGAATCACAAAACAGGACTGGAAGGGCTCTAAAAAGTGTTTAGCTATGCTTGGCTCAACCATATGTGCTGGACAGGAAAATGAGTTGCTTACTGGAGCTGCACTGAGAGCAGAAATAATTGGTAGAATTTGACAGGAAATTGCTGCATCCTTGAGTTTCTGGTTTTGCTTTTTAGCTGCATTTGGCAGCCTTCATTATCTGTTATATCTAGAAAGCATTTTGTAACCCTGGAACCATATTATATGTCATACACTCTTTTTTTATGAAGCCTGCAAAAACATCTCTTGTTTAATAACAATATATAACATTTTTTTAATTTGTTATTGTTGTTTTTATGTTGTATTAACTTTTAGGGAATTTCTTGCTGAGAGTGAAATAAAAAGATTGATACTCCTCTTATGTCTGTACTGTAAAATATGAAGCTACAGACAGCAGTCTATTAGCTTCGCTTAGTGCATAGACTTTTACAAAAGGTGTAAAAACAACACATTGGGGTTCTGCAATACTTTGGTTTCCGTACAAGATATAAAATGTAATGAATCCAGTCCAGCACTGTAAGTAAGCCCCAAATTACAGTGTAGTACAGCATTTGAAGTAAAATGCTTTACTTTACAAACCCACCTTGTCTGGAGTATTCATCAGCCTCGTGGTGAACCAGGTCAGTCACACAGCCCCCATAGTGCAACCGCTGCTCGTGGTCGAAAGCCTTGAGCGTTTCACTGGAGCTGTAGGATTTCTGGGTAGGCACACGACACTCATCTGCATCCAAGGAGGCGGTGTTGTACTGGGAGTCTTTAGAGCAGCGACCCCTGGTCAGGGAGCGGTGCCTACGATCCTTCAGATCCATGCTGAGGCTGATTGTAGGGGGGAGTAGGGATGCAGGGAGAGGAGATGGAAACGGAGGAAGAGAAGGAGGAGGAGGAGGAGCAGGGAGGAGGAGAGGGTGGTGGGGGAGATGGAGGGGCCTCCTAGTGGGCCTCCGTAATGTCAATCTCCACTTCAGTCACCTGGAAAACAGAGATAGAGAGAGGGGGAGATGGGGAGAGTAGAAAAGACAGAAAAGGGTTGTTATAAAAATTAATGGATGCACTGCTGTGACTCACTCTTGCTTTGCACTCCCAAGAGAATCTACTGGGAAAGTTAGGTAAGAGGGAGTGCGCCGAATGGACATTTGAGCAACCAGGCAAATATACAACACATCGGAGTATTGATGCGGGATAAGTAAGACTATTGTGGGGAGAAACAGAGCTGCCAGCGGTGTGGTCCACAGAGATAGACAACCATCGACCATACTGATGAAAAAGGGTCAAACCAACATTTAAATCCATGGCATATAAACACAGAGTGATTCAAACATGCTCCTGTCATCATAAGCTGATGTCAGCAACGCATGGATACAACACAAAGGGGGAAACAATGTGGACAAGAAGAGGCAGATGATTGAGAAACAAAAAAAGTGGGTGGAAAGCTGAGAGAAAAGACAGACAGAGTGATGGGACAAGAGACACAGATTATCTAGACTGGAAAAGGTAAAGGGCAAGAAGGAAAGAAAGAAAGGCAGCCGGATGCAACAGGAAGGATGGAAGAAGAGGAGAAATGACTTGAGGGCATTGCTAGTCTCTCCCTCATTATCAGAGTGAGAATGAATCCTGCTCCCTTAGAGGCTGTAAGGGATAATCAAACACAGCCAGAAGCAGATACACACACACCTACACACACAC